AGCAAGTAAGGGTTTTAATTCTCTAGGTTCCTTTGCCTGGGGATGGTCTGCAGTTGTTCACCTCCTACCAATGTAGGAAATTTCTGTTGGTCGTCTTCTGGAGCAATACTGTTTCCATCTGAAGGAAGGCACAAGTGTGTCAAGCTTACAAGCCAGACTCAGAACACAATGAAAATCTGGAGTCGTTCCATTGGCTACAGTGCGGTTCCTCTAGAACAGTGTTTCTTAAAGTGTGTTCCGCAGCACACCGATGTGCCACAAGGCAGTCGGAGGTGTGCCGCGGTGAACAACAGAGTTAAAAATGGCCGCCCTTAAAAGGGCAGGCAACTCTTATTTATTTTTTTCGCTCAATAACATTTCTCCCCCCCTTCCCCCTGGACCCCATTTTTGTTTTTGTTTTTCCTCAACAAAAAATCCTTGGTGTTCCTCATTTAAAAAAAAAAAGTTTGGTGTTCCTGCATCTTAAAGTGTAAGAAACACTGCTCTAGAATCACACTAGAATCTGGCCTGGTGGGTTCTACTTTTGGTGTTTCCCTGAAATGATAGATCTGCGATTTGTCCTCTGTCTATATATTGCTTGAGGCTATTATACCATCCCATGCATGGACAGACCTTTCTTATCCAATCCATCTGCTGAAGCAAAATGCACCATGGCTGGAAATTACTTTCCTGGTCAATGTCCTGAACAAAAAGTTTGCCCTTTTCTTTGCCCAATCACTTCTAGGAAATATTCATAAGCAGGTCAAGGTCTCTGTTTGCTGGTTTGTTCTTTGGTCGTTCCATGAACATAATGTGATAAGAGGAACAGTTGCACCAACATTGCTGTTTAAAGGTTGCTTTTCCCGCTGGGCCTTAGTTTAAATATTAAAACTTTACAGTTGAACACTGAGAAGAATTCATAAAAAACCCAGTGTTTGGGTCACTGGCCCAGACTTTCTTCCATGTTGGGATCAATATGGAGTCGTTCCATGGAAATCCGATAGAGCAATTTTCGTGCATAACTTGTTACACATCTCGATGTCAATCAGGCCCATTTTGATTGACAGAAAAATCGCTAATAAAGCGGGACCCAGAAAAAGGTAAATACTCAGTTGACCGCTGTTGGATCACGGCGGTATGTGACAGACCTGTGTACTTTACTGTCTTATCACATACATTTCTCTCCGGAAAATCAGTACGCTCTAGTAACAAAACTAGGCTGCAGGGAAGACATAACCGTGTGGTGGTTTTAGTTGATATAAATGAAATCCTTGTAAAAGCACAGATAAAGCAAAAATAACAGGCTGTGATTTACATTGTGACAAGTTTCAGAGGGCTGGTCGTGTTAGTCTCCATCTACAAAGACAAGAGGAGTCCTGTGGCACCTTAAAGACTAAGGGTGTGTTTACACTTGCACCCTCTTTTGAGAGAGGGATGCAAATGAAGCCGGGATTTAA